TACAACATACAGTTAAGTCTGAATTTTTCTGTTAGGAAATGTGTTGATAGCCTTAGCAGAAGCATGAGGGGGGGACTCGTGTCAGTCAAGTCCCCTGAGATGCTCTCCAGACAACAAAAAGCCTTTCATCTTAGATAGCAGAGTATTAAAAGGTCTATTGCTATCTAAAGAACAAGATACCATCTATCTGCCTTGTTTTTGTTCCTTTGTGTTTGTCTTCAACTAGTTGTTGTGATGTTAAGAGATTTTGCCTAATGGAATGAGGTAAAACAAATTATTGCTTACAGCAGCCATACTATGTCATAAACAATTACACAATGAAAATAGATAGTTAATATCTCATATATCTCATCATTCGTACTATATTGATGTCTTCATGCATAATAAGGGTGAACTTAAAAAACAACTTTATTGATACAATTTTGCAACCGCTTTTGGCATTTACTTAATCATATTTAGTTACTTTAACACAATTGTTACATGTTGGCATGGTAGGACATAAAACAATTGTGTTAAAGTAACTAAATTCCAAAAGCGGTTGCATTTTTTTTTTTATTGTTTTGTGATTCTTAGAAACAAGAAATTCTTCTCCAAGCTTGATTGAATTGTGAAATCCAATATTTTTAGGATTAAAAATGATGCCTACGGGCTCTGTTTTACTTCCATAAATATTTGATTAAAGGTCCGTCAGCCAATTGCAATTCAGAGAATTCATTTTAGCCCCGGCCATCTATCTGACCTGTGTAAAATATCCTTCATCATCATGGCAATCACAAAACAGGCTTCAATAGGAATACAATCAGACTTTTGGCTCAGTTAATAAAAAAACTGTTTGATACAGAACTCTGAGCTACTGGTTGCAAGTTAATTTGCAATGGAAGGTGCAAACTAACTCAGTCAACCAATTCAACCAAGAAAACTAGGAGGAAGAACAACACTGCAGCTAACACAGTAGAGATAACAGACAGATGCACATAATAATAATAATAATTTTAAAGTTATTTTATTTGTTTTGAAGTCTCTCCATGGGCTTGCTCCATCTTACCTTTCTAAGTTGCTGCACCTGCATGTACCCTCCCGTTCACTCAGGTCAGCCAATAAACTGCTTCTTCAGGTGCCCAAAACTAGACGGAAGCTTAGGGCGATCGTGCTTTCTCTGTGGCAGCTCCAAAAATGTGGTACAACCTTCCATTGCAAATAGTGTTGCGCCGATGCCATTATTTGGCCCCGATACCCGATACCTGGCTGTGCAGTATCGGCCGATACCGATACCATGATAATGTAATATAATTGCCATTATGGCTTTGTCAAGCTGCTGCCTACCTTTGTGAAGCAAGAAAATATCTAATACAAAGTGAATCCAGTAGAACTTTTTATTGCCTACCAGGAGTGGGTGACAATAGTTGAATAAACTTATGGCTCTCAAAATGGTATCGGTGCCCTATTTGTTGGTACTCGCCGATACCGATACCACCATTTTAGGGCAGTATCGGGGCCCTGTCCGATACTGGTATCGGTGCAACACTAATTGCAAATTAACTTGTGTACTTCTTTTTCTGATTTTAAATCACTCTTAAAAACTCATCTCTTTGCCTTGGCTTTCTAAACTGTGTGAGATGTTGATTTTAGTCTGTGATACATTATTTTAAATTACTTTTATTTAAATTTTATTATGGATTTTATAGTTCTGATTTTAATTTTGTTTTTTATGCTTCTATGGTTATCCAAAATGTTCAGATTTTGGACAGATATGATAGATGGTTTGAAAGAGAGGTGAAGGAGCCATCTTTGCTAAAAGGGAAAATGCATTTCTGAACAGAGGGGGAGGATTGTGATTCAGCTTCAAAGGATTTATAAGTCAGTCATGAAACTCATTCCCTGGGCTGCTAAGTGGAAAACTTGGTAGCACTGCTGCCTTGCCTTGAGTTTGCATTTTCTCCCTGAGCTTCTGTTGGTTCTCTCTGGGTACTCCGGCTTCCTCCCACAGTCCAAAAACATGACTGCTAGGTTAACTGGCTTCTCTAAATTCTCCTAAGGTGTGAGTGTGTAGGAATGGTTGTTTGTCCGTCTGTCTCTGTGTTGCCCTGCGAAGGGCTGGCAATTTGTCCAGGGTGGACCTTGCCCCTTGCCCATTGACAGCTGGACATAGGCACCAGCAACCCTTGCGACCCTGCTTGGGATAAGGGTGATGGCAAAGGAAGGATGGATGGAAGGAACTCATTCCAGAGAAATTATAGAAACCCTCCCATCATGATTCAAAAGACCAATCACAAAGCCCATGCACTACAAAAGACTCCAGAAGAACAAGGGGATGCTATTTGATCTGCATCCGACTTGGAATGTGCTTAGGAGGGTAGACCTCCATACTGCTTAAATAAGAATCAATGCTCCAACTACAGATTGCTTTGATACGAGCCGCCAGAACTGAAAGAGGTTATGTTTACAGTGCAAGCCTTAATGTTCAATTCTGATATTTTTGTGAAATCCCATTGTTTTGTGTGGTCGTTCACATTTCCATATATATGCAACTTGAATGTGGTCTCCAGTGTGAACCACATTCATACAGCTTAAGTGTCCCGCCAGCACAATAATGCAATCTTTTCATGAAGATCAAAAAGAAAGACAGCTGTCCACTGCTCTTCGTCATCCTCAATGTTTTTTTCCTCTGTGCTTTTTGCTGAAAGATGCAGAATAGGGACATTTGTTGAGACATTCAGGTTGGATGAATGCAACCTGGCCGTTCAGACACAGGTTGCACAGCTAAATGGCCTGGGTAATATTTGAAAAAGATGGATCTGTCTCGTTTAGACTGTCATGAAATGATTGATACAGGTCGCATATGGCAAAAAGTTCAGACTTGGGTCACTTCAGGCTGCAGTGTGAATGTAGCCAGACTCCTGGATAGGTGTCAAAACGTCCTCAAAAGCAAATAGAGTGAAAGTCCGATTGCCTTCCTATTTAGGCCAGTTTCGTGGTTATCAGAACTTAATGTTTGAGCCCTCTTTTTGGCAATTTGTATTTAGTTGGTGCCCTGCTCTCTATGCATCCTTTTTTAATATGTATAATGGTTGTGCTTAAAATATGATAATCCTAATTAGCCAGCTTTATTCCACATACAACCTCCTATTATTTGTGTTTGGAAACATTGTCCTGATGGAAAAGTTTCATTCATCTAGATGTTGATTTGCATTTGAACGATTTGAATGTATAGATTGTTTTCTTCTTACTTTATCTACTTTAATTTATTCACCAGCATAACTGATTATGAAATAAACCCAGAGCATGATGATATGCCCACTTGAAAGACTAACCTTAGCCCTCAAAGAATTATCTATGTGCACATACAATTCAACCTTTGTCTAGTTTGAAGGGGAAAAAAATCTCCTGATGCCATATGCTCATCCATGACAGCTGATTTGGGACTAGATTAAAACTTTAGTCTTTCAGTTCAGTTTGGATTAATCATGATTAAACGATTATTGAAATAATCGTCAACTAATTTAGTAATTGATTAATTGTTGACCGGAAGATAAAGACTGTAAAACATGCCTTTAGCTGAGAAAACAACCCACTTAGAGCAGTAATTATATCAAAATTGCAAGAAAATATCTAAACATTTTGCATTCAAGATAAAAAAAAAAAAGTTTTCATTTGTTAATCTGCTCTACCCAGAACTCCTCAAGTGGAAAAGTTTAATTTCAACTGGTTTTATTTCGTAAAAAGTCTTCTTTAAGGAACCTTTGTCTATTTGATTATTATTCGATTAATCGAAAAAATAATCAACAGATTAATCGATTTGCAAGACAATCGTTAGTTGCAGCTCGAGTTCAGTCCGAATCACTTTTGTATAACATCGATTCACAACACATATCACCTCGACACACCTTACAGAGACAATCAAATCATACAGTTGGATCAATTCAATGTTTTCTGTCTCGAAAACCCATCTGATTGCTTCCAATCATTAACTTTGGTGACATTAACTGGTGAAATTTTTCGCTTGCAATTAGGTGCATTAACTGTTGCCATGTCTTCAGTAAAAAAAGTTGCTATGGGCTTAACCTGAGTCACACACAGTTGATGTTCTGCTGGGAGAGATCTATTTTAGTGCAACAGTTTGAAGGAAAATATTTTAAAATTATTTTTTATTTAATATCATATGTACAAACACCTATTGAAGGAAATCAGTAGAACATTTCTGTATGTGTGACCCCTTTTATTAATGGGTATTCATATTGCAGTTTTTCTCTCTCTGACTCAAAGCATTGCTTGCTGCTGAATGAACTCTATTCCTATTCTAACCCACAATGTGGTGCAAAACATTGTTTAGTTAGTGACAAAGATTATGCCTTTTTGATCATTTTAGGGTTTGTATTATTGCGTCATGTATCTTAAACCACATAATGTTTGATGGACGGTAGTGTTATAACATTACATTTTAGGTAGAGATGTGAAAAAAGAGCAATTTCTATTTCAGCTCAGCAAGTATCAAAATGTGGTCTTTATTTGCAGCCAAACAGAGTTGGTTTTTCAGCTGAAACTTGTAATCAAACCTCTGCTTTGTCACCATTTTGTACACCCACAGTAGTGGTGGTATAGCAGATAATCTGGCAGGGGTCTGTTTAGGTGTTCTGACTGCAGAGAGAAGTTATACAGGAGGGAGACACGCAAGCCTCGTGAAACAACGCAATAGATAAATCAGTTACCAGCAGCAAAACAAGCAGAGTTAGTGAATGTGTCTGCAGCAGCACATCTTGGCTTTAAGGTCAACATAAAATTCTTATCAACTTAGCGGACCTAACAGAATGCATGACTGCAGAACTGCAATGACATGATCTTGTATTGGTTAAGACCATTTACATACAATGGTGACTTAGAGCTCTTGGCAGCACAATGATTTAGGGTGTATTCTCTCAGCAAGATGGTTTAAATTTTTACCTGAAGGCATTCTTTCTGGAGTTTACTTTCCCTCCCATTCATCCATTCATCCTGTCCAATAGGGTCACAGGGGGCATGTACCTATCTCCAGGAATCTTTGGATGAAAAGTGAGGTACACCCTGTATAGGTCACCAGCCAATTGAGGGCCAACACGGGAGGTTAGGCTAAGGAGGTAAGATATAGCAATTAACCGAACAGTCATGTATTTGAACAGTAGGAAGAAGCCAGTTTAAAGAGGGAAATTTGTTTAATTATTGTTGCAAGAAAAAAAGCAAGTTTTGCAATTGGATATGAAAAAATAGTAATAAAGTGAAATATAAAAGCAAATCCAGACAAAAAATGTAAAGTGTTTTATTGAAAAGCAGGTAGCAACTTTGTTGTTTTCTCAGATTTGGTATTTCAATAATATTTCAAATTTGTTTTTCATATTTATTTTTTGTGTTTTTACAGATATATGCTTAATTAATTTTCACATCTCTGTTTTTCGTATTGAATTATTTTCAAATTGCATTTTACAGATAACATTATGTTCTCTTTAAGCCAAACACAAACAACCAATGACAGGCAATACACTGAGCCCAGTTCTGCTGGAGGTTTCTTCCTGTTAAAAGGGAGTTTTTCCTCTCCACTTTCGCTACAAGCATGCTTAGTGTGAGGGATTGCCTTCGAATCAATGAGTCGATGCAATCAACTAGTTTTCCTTAGAAAGAAAACAAGTATGATCTGATGAACTATAAAGTGCCTTTAGATGACGTGATGTAAATTGGCACTATAGAAATAAACTGAATCGAATTGTAGTTAATTTAATATTGACCCGATACAACATCAGCATGAACCATAGATATTTTTGGAACTTATTTTATAGTATGGGATATTAGAAAAGGCTTGATCAACTGATGTTACTAAAACATATTACAATAGTCAACAAAAATAGAATAAATGAGCCATGTATTATTTACCTATTGGCTACATAAACTTTAACACAAACTGAGTATTTCTATCAGCATCCTTATATTGGATACTTTCAGAGACATCAATACTTATTTCTGAGAAAGTAAAACCTGGAATGGATTAAAGTTTTATTGTAGGTAATTAAACTTGTAGTTAAAACAAAGTTAAGCTGTTACTGATGCTCCTTAAAGCTTTCCTCCAAGTTGTTTTGCCACACCCAAACAACATAAGTTCAGGGAGGATTGAACAGGCTTCTCTGAGCCCCTGGATTTCTAATTACGTTTTTTTTTTTTTCTCAGAGGGTATGGTTGCAGAACTATGAACTAAAATAAAACTCTTTAACATTGCAATTAAAAAAATAATGAGAAATGTATTTTTGTTGAAAGGGGGTTTTCTTCTGTACTTCTCTGTACTGCATGCTTAGTGTGAGAGATTTCTGCAGAATCAACGACATTGAGCAAGCAAATGCCTACTGTCTCTCGCTGCTCATCCAGAATAGAGAATCCTGCAAAGCCAAGGACTGGATGCAGTCATATGTTAAAAGCTGCTAAATGCACCATTGACGCTTTAACTGCATCATTTTTTGCTGCATAGTCCTCTCTGCCTCCTCCACCTCCCTCCCTTCCCTCTTTAGCTAAGTCATAGCTGCACCTGACTGTCTTCATATCCCTGTGCCATGGGATGCTGATATTTCTTGTGTCCTGCAGTGACTCAAACTTTTCCTCAATTTTAAAAAGAACATGTTATCTTTTTCGACAAATCATCTTTGTGGCACAAGAAAGACATTTTTGAAGCAGGGAGGGGTATTAAGGATGTACCTATAACGAGTGTAGTTGGGGTGTGTGTGTGTGTGTGGGGGGGGGGGGGGGGGGGGGGGGGGGGGGGTGTGCTGCGGTTATTCTGCTGACTGCAGGACGTCCACCTGGCAGGAACAACCAGTGCATCAGCAGTTTACAATTGAATGAATGAAGAAAGTAGGATGTGAGAGGAGCGAAAGATCCGTCTCATTGATTATTACTGCACACACAGCTGTACTCCAGTACCAGTAGTAAAAGATGCTCAAACATCCAATGGACACACAAAATCACCCACACAGTTTATAATAGTTCACAACTCCAACATGAACCAGTTTTCATTTATTCATTTATCATTTTTCATCTATAATAAATGTTTTGGAAGGATATAGACCAGGGGTAACCAATTAAAAACCAGTGTGGTCCGAATAAAGAAAATCATCAAACAGTAAAGGTCCGGAGACATTGGGCTTTAGGCTGCCCTGCAAGGCTTTAAACCTGGGTTTGAATAGAGACAAAGCCATTCTAAAGCACATATCAAGGAGCTCATGGTGAGCCTGGATCCATATTTATTTTTGATTCTGTTCATGGTGGAGAATCCTGCTTCACAGCAGCAGGTTGAGCCAAACATCCTCTAAATGTGCAGGGTCATCTTTGAGAACACCATTTCACTTTTCTTTCACCAGTTCACCGCAGTTCTTCCAGCAGTCCTCACTTTCTCTGCTCTCTTTTTTTCTCATCATCTTCTCCTTCCTTTCCATCGCCCGGCTTGCCACAGGTTTGCCTGCTGTGTCTAAAAGTAGCAGCAGCAGCAACCCAGACTGACAGCAGCTTATTGACTAATTTGTTTTATGTTCTGGAGGGTTTTACCATATTAACAGGAGAAGTGGCACCACTGAAATTAGACATTGCCGTCGGACATTATGGGGTAAATTATAAATGTTTTAAATCAGGTTGGCCAGCTGGTTTGTCCGGATCCGGACCACGGTCCGCTAATCCATGACCTCTGATATAGGACGTATCTGTGCCGTTGTTTCTGTTAACTCCCCAGCAAATTTAAATTTGAAGTTATGTTAGTAGTCACCTATTGTTTTGTTTTTTTTGTCCATCATAGATTAATAAATCTTTCCTCCCTGTGAATTCACCTGGTGGTGTTGCTCTGCTGCCCACGCACAAACAGACTTAGTAGAAATGACAGCAGAATGAGATGTTCTCAGTTCCAAAAGCTTCTCCCTCACCTGTCTGCCATGTTCCCTGGTCTAACTTATGTTCCTCACAGAGGCGTAGCCTGAAACTGTTAATAATTGTGACCAGGCAATAACCAATGTTCACTGAGGGTTGGCCGAAAGTGGATAGGCGCCAGAACCTCAGGGTCAAGCTACAGTGTTCCAACAGGAAAATGAACAAGGACAACATCCATATTTTCTAAATAAAGACAAACTACACTCTTCTAAAACCTTTGTTAACAAATAGATGCATGTATTTCACCATCCGTGCATTTTAGATAAATTGTATAGTGGATCAAATTCTTTCAGGTTTGAGTTCTGGGGTGAACATCTTTTCCATCGTCATTACTTACTTACTTTTATCAATAATGATTATTATTAATGAGTATTACTGCTCTCACCATCTGTATTAGAGGGAAAATGGTAGTGGTGGCCAATGATTGGCTAAGAGTGGCCTGGCCCCCATCTAGCTCCACCCCTGGTTCTTCCCTCAAAATCTTTGGGGCCTGCATCTACACATCTTTATGGTAATAGTGCTTTCTATCTTGGTGACTTTTTAAAGCAATTGCCTATGTTGTATTTTATCAACAAAAAAAGAAGAAAACACTAATTTCTATTAGCTAATTTTCTCCACACCAAAATTCATTACTACTACGTTTAATTCAGTTCCAATCAGAATATTCAGTAAAATTGGTTGAAAAATGTTTATCTAAGGAAACTCTGCTGATTGTATCCAGTTATTGACTTTGCAGGATTCACTCCTTCTGGATGAGCAGGTGGCGACAGCAGACATTTCCTGGAATTGTGTCCCTGACTCCACAGAAATCCCTCACATTAGGCATGGATGCAGAGACAGTTGAAAAGAAAATACTTTTTTTTGTTTTTTTAACAGGGAAAAACATGTAGCAGAACCAGACTCAGTGTGAGTTGCCGAGGCCGACTGGGAGTTAAGGGAAACAGAATGTTTGTAACCAATCAAATTACCTTTCAAACAAGGGTAAGCATGGCTAATTTGAATTGTGCAGACCTGATATATCACCAATCTTAAACGCCACGCAGACGGATTCGATCCTGGATCATTGCACTGTTAGATAATTGGATGAAAAAAAATGTTGCTTCAAAAATGTTTTGTGGCCATCAAAATGCTTCTGTGTGAGTTTTTGGGTAAAATAGTTGTGTGAAAGCAATAAGCACAATTTGGCATAAACTGACACTTTTGGAGAAGTTACTGATACCAGAAGTTAAAAGTCCTATAGCTCTAGCACTGTTATACCTAAAGGTCTGACATTTTTTTTTGCAGTTTTGGTTGACATCATGCTGAATAAATGTAATACAATTACACATACCTATTGTCAAGCATATCTTTGTTACTGCTATTCAAATATGACCTATTATTTTTGAGAAGAAAAATAACAAATATGAGCCATGTTGTAACTGCTGCAGTTTAGGTTGTGCTTTAGTCACACTATTTTAGTTTATATTTTCAGAAACTAGACATTTCTGAAAAAGAAAATCCCCGGCTTGCTTGGACTCTAAATGAATCATGGGATACTCAAGGCTACCTTTCCACATCATATATCACACATGTGGGCTGCATGTAGGGCAGTGGGTAGCCCTGCCTCCTTGCAGCAAGAAGGTTCCCGGTTCAATTCCTGGCCCGGTGTCTTTCTGCATGGAGTTTGCATGGTCTCCCTGAGCATGCGTGGGTTCTCTCTGGGTTCTCTGGCTTCTTCTCCCAGTCCAAAATCATGACTATTATGTTAATTGGCTTCTCTAAATGCTGCGTAGGTGTGTGTGTGAATGGTTGTTTGTCTCTGTGTTGCCCTGCGATGGACTGGTCCAGGGTGTATCCCACCTCTCGCCTGTAGACGGTTGGACATAGCCACCAGCGACCCCAGCTGGGATAAAGTGTGATGAAAAATGGATGGATGGATATCACACTTTTAGGTATCCCAATAAGTTGTACCTCTTAAGAATCATTCAACACCAAGGAAAACAACCATAAGCTCTATTGTAAGCCAACCATAAACTACAAACAGCAATGACTAATAATCCGACTTCAATTTATGATTCATAACTTCCAGCTCTTACCTTGTTTACCTCTTCTGCCGGTCAGGTGGTTCATTGATCATGGTAAAAAACGGTCTCATTTTGTCCTTTAGACTCCACAAAAAAGTAATATCCAATTGTATTTCCATAAAATAAACTCACATGTCGTGATAACCCACCAAAGGTCATTTTTTTAGCCATGAAAAGTAAAAAGCAAGGGGTGAAAATAGATAGTCCGTCTCTGTGACGATGCCGGTCCACCATTTTAGATCATCTAGTGTGGATTTGTTTACCAATCGGTCTGCTACCAACATCAATTCCACCCAAACTATCAGAGTTCTTTAGAAAAACACCTCTTCGTGAAAATAAAATGCCACCTTGTGCATATTCTCATCCCCAAAAAGAGTGAAGAAGGTGTGTTTTTGGTCATTTAGTGTCACGTTGTCTTTGTCTTGCCTTTGAAAAGTCCTGGATCCGCCCCTGCCGTGTATGTACATTCAGAAATGTAGGTGATGTAATGCGATGCTCAAGTAATTTTGTGTGTTAGTTTTCAAAGGGTTATAAAGTTTTATCAGTCAGCTTAAGTTTTAGTCTCTTTTAAGTTTTTGTCTTAATTATAGAAACTTTCTGGGGCGGTCTAAATCCTGCCCAGAAGGAGAGGGTTAGCTTATCCTTATTATTGTACTCGCAAAGTCACAGTTGAGATTGAGAGAAGCTGACTGTGAGGCAGTCACTCTGTGCTGTGGCAGTCTGCCTGCAAGCTGGATCTGCTGTTGGGAATAGGACATGCTGCTTCCTCACGCTGCTGGTATTTCCCACACAGTAGGTACACTATGATTCATTCAGAGTATGTCGGGCTTCTTCACTACTCTCTTCTGAGGGTTCTCGTCTGACATCCAGTTTCTGCATCTCTGATTATTTTATCTGCTGAGTCGACTTTGCAGTGAGACTGTTAGAGTTTGCATGTTCCTTTTAGATTGTATGCTCTGCTTCTCTGTGGTTGTTACAGATCTTGCAAGTTAGACCCATGCAGAAGGAACACTGTTATCCAGGGATGCATATGCATGAGCTTTCTACTGTGCAAAAATTGCAATATCCTTCAGGAAAACTTTACTAAGCATTAACCTTTTGTGCAGATGCCAATGAACTTTATCTGTGTTTTTCTGCAGTGATCGGAGCCCGTGTGTTGAGTGAAGATGATTCCCTTGATGATCTGTGCTTTGGTCTCCATGAGTGTTGCAGACACTAGTTTAGACAGAGAGTTATCTAATCTGGAGTATTCAAGGACTATCTATGTCATAGGTAAGTTTGTGTCCTCTGCGTTCAATGACAGTGTCATACTGGATGTTTTTTTTTAGTGTTCTTTCCTGTGTTTCGTTCATGACACTCTCTCTGCAGAGTTCTTTGCTTATCAGCATGATTTGCACTGTGGCTGAGAGTTAAGGCTGCAGTTATAGATTTTTTTTTCAGTTTGTGAACTTACTGATGAAAAATGTCAGGATTTCAAAAACTCTTTACAGCATCATATTGCATTCAATACATTATAAATGGTTTTAATAATTGTAAGAAGTACGCCCCTTTTTTTTTAATACATAGTGTAATAATACTCATTGATAATTACCTAATTCATAAGGTTCTAAAATTCTTAATATAAATCTTAAATAAAAGTACATTAACCAAAGCAGGTTCCACTTGTATTATTTTCGGAATAAAGCAGCTAAAAAATCCATTAAAGTTAAATTCAAATTAAGTTCAATGACTGCATGACCCAGTTTGGACTGAGCTTTATTTGGCAAACTGGCTCTCATTTGAATCTAGATTATTTAGCTAACAAAGCTGATGTTGACTCAGTAATTGCAGGTTGGTGAGGTAATTGTAGCTGTGAAAGGAGGCTGACCCATCAGACTTCCAGCATCCAGCATCCACAGTTTATGCTCTTAGGGTTTCACCTTACAAGGTCAGGACATTACACATCACATTTGTTTTATGTATATATTTATATATATATAATTAATAATATATATATATATATATATATATATATATATATATATATATATATATATATATATATATATATATATATATATATATATATATATATATATATATATAGCACAATTTTATTTTAAATGTTCTGCCATATTAAAGAAAGTGCAATAACATTTGTTCTGCAAACACTTAACATCAGCATTTTGTTTATACAATAGCAGTTAAAGAAAAACTGCCCACAAAATCCTGAGTCACAATCATAGCATTAAACAGGCAATTTCTGAGGTAACAGCACAAACATCAGGGAACAGCATAACCAGTCTAGTACCAAATGTCCCTGTTATAGTGAGGTGAAGCACAAAAAAAAACTTCATTGCTGGGATTTACTGTGCAGGGAAATAGTCTGTAAGTATACTAATCGGCCTTTGTTAGCTTCTCTTGCCTTTGTTTATCTATACTTCTCCCACACACTGCATCTAACGTCACTAGCCTCGCGCCACTGTCTGTTTCTTTAAATGATTTGCTGGTATCAACTGTGTGTTTTGCATTTAGGGGATATTTTAGACTCGAAGTACTCTGGTGATAAGACAATTCAACTTTGCAGTGATTGCAAATAACTGTGCTTCTGTCGACTGCGCCGTCTGAAAGAACTTTAAAATGAAAATGGCCATGTACAAGTGCCGTACCCTTCTCCATGTTTGTTGGCTTGTTTATCCGCCAATTTCTTTTCTTTTTTGGTTCCTGTACTTCCGGTTCCGGTACTTTTAGCTTTACCATATAAAAGCCTGGGAGCAACAGACTTTTACAGTAATAAAAAAAATAATAATAAAAACTGCGTTAATACGAGATAAAATAATTGTCGGCGTTAATTGATTGATAATAACAAGTTAACTTGCCCAGCCTTAATATATATATATATACAGTATATATATATATATATATATATATATATATATATATATATATATATATATATATATATATATATATATATTAGTGCTGTCAAAATTATCGCGTTATTATCGCGTTAACGCAAGGCCATTTTAACGGCGATAATTTTTTTAACGTGAGATTAACGCTATGTGGTTTTATGGTACAATTTTCCAAGTACATCCCGCTGCAGCCTGCGGGAAGGCGGGGCTATTTTCCCCCAGTCTATGCATTTTCCATAGGCTTCGAGAGCGGAGCTCCTCAAGGAAAAAAGACGCTCATACACTGGGTAGCGCTAGTGCCTTTTCTTTAAGCCCCACCACCAACAAACAAGTTGAGTGTCTGGTAACTAGTAGCAACCTGAAATACGCTGAGAAAACAGATTACTGAGGTGAAATGGAATCTGCTACGGCACTCTTGCTGTCTGTGTACGCCACAGGTCGGTATCGTGTGTGTGTATGTGGGTGGGTGTGTCTGTGTGTGGGTGGGTGGGTGTGTGTGCGTTCTCATTTTTGTTAAGAGGCTGAAAAGTAACTTTCTAGAGCATAGACTACCTCCATGATGTCGGTCTATTGATTTTGATGTATTGATTGAAAATTGTTCATTATTACCTTGGTTAATTAACATCTAATGTTAACTGTACTACATTTTATAGCAGTAGGGTAAAATGCTTGTCTTTGTTCAAAAGACTGTATTGACTGTAAAGACTGTCTTTTACATCAGCCTGTTTTCAGGGCCTTTTTTTTGGCTACATATTTGTTATTTTTTGCTACATGCCTCCCCATCTTCTTGCCATATGTTTCTATGGCATAAATCAGTGTCTGTGACCTGTTTTCATTTTAAAAAAAGAAAATTGGCACAAACCTAGCCTGTATGTATTTTTTGTATGTCATCAAGAGTATTTAAATGATTTTCAATCAGAAAAAAAATTAGCGATTAAAATGCGATTAATCGCGAGTTAACTTAGGCATTGATGCGATTAATTGCGATTAAAAAATTTTATCGATTGACAGCACTAATATATATATATATATATATATATATATATATATATATATATATATATATATATATATATATATATATATATATATATATACATATATATTTATATATTTATAGATGCCTCTATTGATCTTGTACTCAGTACAAGATCAATAGAGGCCAGGGTCTACCACACCAGACAGGACCCCCGATGCAGACTGTGCAAAGATGCCTCTGAAACAATACAGCACATAACAGCAGGGTGTAAAATGCAGGCAGGAAGTGCATACATGGAACGCCACAACCAGGTAACTGTCATAGTGTACAGGAACATCTGCCATGAGTATGGGCTGGAAGTCCCAAGATCAAACTGGAGGACACCTCCTAAGGTAGTTGAGAATGACCGAGCTAAGATCCTATGGGACTTCAAGATCCACACTGACAAACAGGTGATGGCTAACCAACCAGACATCGTGTTGATCGACAAACAACAGAAGAAGGCAGTAGTGAAAGATGTGGCAATCCCAAGCGACAGCAACATCAAGAAGAAAGAACACGAGAAGCTTGAGAAATACCAAGGGCTGAAGGAGGAGCTAGAAAAGATGTGGAAAGTAAGAGCAGCAGTGGTGCCAGTGGTAATTGGAGCACTGTGACCCCCAAACTAGGAGAGTGGCTACAGCAGATTCCAGGTAAAACATCAGAGGTCTCTGTCCAGAAGAGTGCAGTCCTAGGAACAGCTAAGATACTGGTAAGATAGCAGCAACGTTTTTTCGGACCTCCTAATTCGGTCCCTCAAAAGTAAGTTAAAAACGCAGTTTAGTGTGAACTCTACAAAAAAACAACAACAACGAAGAATATAAATTCAGAATTCTGTGTGAATTTAAAAACCGGGTTATTCGACACTGTTTATGGCCGAATCGGATCATAACTACATGCTAGCAAGAAAAGAGAAGCCCGACATGAACTAGCGTGGTGCGCCAACATCCACCCCTGAAAAGATTGCAGCTACAAAGAAAAATAAAGCCGCAGAAGACAGAGACCTGCAGGTAGAAGCTGCTACCAACAAGATCCTAGAAGCGGTTAATAAGTTGGCTGACAGATTCAACACCCAAGAAAGAAAAATGGAAGAACTTAATAATAAAATGGAGGAAAATACTAGTCAGGTGGCTTTTCTCCGTGAAGAAGTAGCTAATTACCAGAAATGAATGGCTGAGCTCGAAAAGCAAGTTTGCATGCTGGAGGAAGAAGTGAAAACAATCAAGTTGAGATGTGAGGAACAGGAAAGATACAAAAGAAGATGGAATCTTCAAGTGAAAGGATTGGAAGAAAAAGAAAATGAAGATACCAGAGCAGTGGTAATCCCACTTCACTCCATGGTTTGCTCCAAGAGTGGCATGGAATATGGATGACATGATGGACTCCGTCCACCGCCTGGGGAAAAAAGAGCAAAATCATCCAAGGCAAGTAATCATCCAGTTTGTGAAAAAAGAATGTAGAAATCAGATATGGAGGCTATCCAAAGACTGTGATGTGTGCAAACAGGCCGGTATCAGATTTGCTGAAGATTTAACAAAGGAGGATAAAGCTGCTAGAGAGAAGCTGTGGCCAAGAATCAAGGAGGCATGGGATCAGAAGAAAAGAGCGTACTTTCGTGGACCGCTCAGCTTCATTGAGGATATACAAATATTTGCATAAACTGCTTCAGGATACCAGCAGGAGAATTTCAAAAAGATGACAGACAAAACGTTTAATAAGAGGGTCCAATATATATTTTATCAAGGCAAGTTACACTAGCCTATTTGTTTAAACTTTTCGGTTAAGTTGTATGAACAATTTCAGTCACAAATGTTCTTTATATCATTAAACACAAGGGGACTCAAGGATAGCACCAAAAGAAAAGCTATCTTTTTATTTTGCAAGGGACTAAAGGCACAATGTGTTTTTTTTTTTTGCAAGAAACTCATTCAAGTGAAGAAGGCACATCTTTTTGGAGGAATCAATGGGGGGACACAATCTCATTGAGCCATGGAACTAACAAATCTGCTGGAGTGGCCATTTGCATGAACAACTGCCCAGCACATGTTTTGGAAGTAGAAAAAGACTCAGAAGGACACTGGATTGCTGTGGTATTGAATATTGATGGTCTTGCTTTTGTTCTAGTAAATGTTTATGGATATAGTGGACAGGGTAAAAACAAACTGTTATTAGAAAGAATTTCTGAGGTTATTAAGGAGTTCAAATTAAAATATCCAACGGATTGTATTTGTATTGTATTGATAGGAGATTTCAATTGTGCTCCCGATGAATGGTATGATAGATTCCCTACAAAATATCTTGACCATAAATTTAATCAAACAATTACAAGATTTTGCAAAAGCAACTCTCTTATTGATATT